TTTGTAAGAAAAAAGCCATCATTCTGCCTTATCTAAGCAATTACCCTGATTCTTCTTTAGTCACTAAATTTGTCATAAATCACTACTCTGCAACCGTGGGAAATGGAATATTTCTTTTCATTCTTGACAAGAGAGAAAAGGTTTCTCACTTTTATTTCCTGTCCATTCAAAACTGCTGCACTTCTGCGTGTAGCATGTGGCCTTATTTAGTGGGAAAAGGATACTGTTGATGTTGACTGACCTCTTAGATCTTTATTAATTGAGAATTACAGGATGTTTGTTGCTTTCTGTGGTCTAAAATCTTCTCCTCTGAGGAATGCCCTGTCTGTCTCTGTTGTCTTTATCATGTTGTTGAAAATGTCAATTTTTTGTCTTTCAGTGTTGTCCAAAGAGTTTTACATAGAATCAGTGAAAATAAATCACTGATTATTATTCATTGTGCTATTAACTGGCAACGTTCTCCTAAGAAACAGATGTTTTTTACCTGAAACTCTAAGAAATCTTTATTTTTTACAACAGCATTTCTAGAATTGTGTGGAGTGATATAAATCCATAATACTTGCATAGTTTTATATATTTGTTAATAGATGGTAGCCTAATTTCCAAGTAGTTACTTTAAAACACTTTCCTGCAGAGTTATTTTAGAACACTTTTCTCAAGTGCTTGATTTAGATAAGCGATTTTACACAATTAGTAATAGTAGTTTTGAAAACTGACATTCAAATTCTTTAATTTTGATCTTCTAATGATGGTTACATTATATACAGTATCTTATGTAGTTTTAGCTGTAGTATTTCTCATAATTCCTTTTTTTCTGTATTCTGTTTTTTTCCAACAGGAAGGAACTTGAGACCTTCAAAGGTAAATTCTATTTTAAATTTTCTACCAGAATATTTAGAAGAGTTATAGTAATTAAGGGAAATTAGTAGGAATCTGTTACAGTTCTACATTTGATAGTGATCATTTTACATCAAACCCAGCAGCCTATTTCTTTCAGTTCACCTGTTCTTGCTACTGATTTCTTTGGAAGAGTCATAAGCGTGGGAAGAACACAGATGGTACCATCGTTTCAGATAGGTTTCAGAGAATCTTTATCTAATTTAAGTCTTTCCCTCAGTGTTCATTTTTAGAAGTTAGAAACTTCATGGCTCTGACTAGTTACTGTCTTTTCTAACACGGATGACTTTTGATGTGTGTCGCAGACTGTTATTTGTTAGACTTTTGTCTGGCTGTTTCTGGGAAATTTTCATGGTGTTATGTTATATTAGACATGAAATTTTTGAAGCTGAACTTGTTGGATATGGCTTACAAGATGCATATATGTGTGTTTGTGTCTATGTCTTAAATAATATGCAATAGCTAGGAATTCTGTCGAGTTTTATTGCTTTGTCATTGTAGTGTGTAGATGGAACACACCTATTACCATTTTCAGTAAATCATGAATTCAGGCTTACTTCACTTACTTATATTTGATCAGCTTGAGGATTGCAATTATCTTTTGCTTTGAATACGCTTTGCAAGTAGTATTTATTTATGAGAGGAAAATCAAATCCATTGACTACTGCCAATTAATTGTCTCTTGGAATTGAAAGAAGGGCTGGAAATTTCTATCAACTGCCTTTTCAGTTCTTTATCTTATCTCTCACCCTTATATAATGCTAAAAAGGAAAATAACAAAGCTAATATTAACAGACAAGCAAAACAGATTACGTAAAATGTCACTTTATCTGTAGCTTACCAAAACAAATCCTTTTCTCATCGATTTGACAGCTTTCAACACAGACTACCTCAATGGAAAAACAAAAATAATGCTAAATTCATTCTGTTCCATGGCAAGACAGTAGCTTTGTAACCAAGCACCTGATGCATGTGAAAGAAGTGAACCCCTGATTTTTGTTTATATTGAATAGGGTTTTTAAGTGATCTTGTGAAAGTCAGGAGGATGATTTCTGAAGTTATTTCTCTCTTTGTAGATGTCGGAAGTATTACCAAGGCAATTAACGCTGGGGCTATGTTTTTGACTTGAATTTGATAGCCAGCTACAGCTACATAACTGGCTCTGTAATGGATATAGTTGTATACAGATCTCCAATATAAGTCATAAATGCTTATCTTGAGTATTTGAACTAGTTTTACAAAATGTAATGAAATAATATAAAGCTGTTATGATAGTATAATCACAACCAAGAGGAGGTTTTTAGTGCTGCAAAGAGATAACAAGAAGAAAGCTAAAGACTTTTCTGAAAAGGTCCAACAGCAATTTGTTGCTGATACAGGTGTTATGACAGGGAAAGACTGGATTAGAGGATATTCTAGGTCTGATTTTAGATTAACTGATAAGTTACCAGCATAACACAGTCATTAAAAAGCACATACTTCTGATAGTACATTACCTACTATATTTTAAGGTTGAGATGAGGGAATATTAGTACTATTAGGTAAAGGATTGGTATTATCTTATCTGAAACACTGCGTATGATTCTGGTTTGCTATATTCAAGAAAGGTTGGGTCCAGCTGGAATAGGCTAACTAAGGAATGATGGGGTAGTGGGTTGTCTTTTCATTTTGAGTATTTTATACACTAAAAACTTGACTAATTCACTCTTGCCTGGACTGGAAAGTTTGTAGTTTGTAAAATACCCAAAGAAGGAACCAGGAAAGGAGAAATGCTTGAAGTAAGGAGCAGGAGAGAAGAAAGCGATACCTGGTACAAGCCATATATGAGGACATTTAAAATGAATTTTAGAATAATGGTTTCAGTTATCAGAACCTGGAGCTTGAGAGATTTGTGAGGAAGATAACACAAAGTGACTTGCTTCCGTTAATAAGGGAGTGGATTCTCTCAAGGTAGATCTCTTTCAGTCATGTGAAAAAAAAATCAATTTTTTAATTTTTTTAAAAAAGAATGATAGAGTGGAAAAGAATAGCAACATAGCAGAATGTTATAGAAAAGCTGGAAAAATATATGATAACTGGAATGGAATTCTGTTAAATATCAGAGTCTACTGAGCCTGAGTTTTGACACTTGAAAGGAAAGGAATCTGATGCACTGAGGTTGAAGAGAGAAGGCTGGAGAGGTTTGTTAAACTCCACTCCCCTTCGCTCATCAAACAAAAAGAATGAATATGAAAGCAGTTTATTTGACTGATGTGAGTCCTGACTGCTCAGATCCAATCTGGAAGGAATGTTTCTTTTGGGGAGGGTTTTGTTCCTCTTACCCTTATATACACTTGCATCTTTCAATACCCAGTACCTGTTGTATGTTAACATCTGTTTTCGTGAAAAAGAATAGAAATGCCATTTTTTTGATAATAGTAACTTTTTATCTGTTAATATCCATAATGCTAAACATTTGGTCCTCCAGATTAAGGATGATAGGTGTTTTATAGCAAAATATGTATTGCAAATATAAATATATCACCTGCAGCTGCAGAAATTAAAGTATCTATAAAAACAGCTATTACATACTTTGTTAGAGTGGCAGAGAGTGAATTGCATGCATGTTTTTCAGTGTTTAAATTTAAGTTACATGCATCATTGGTATGTTTTTCAGGACAGAAAGTTTTACTGGAATTTAGAAATTGAATGATGTAGTCAGAGGGTCAAAATACTACAGCACCAGAAGCCTCAATTCGGTGAGGTATCCCAACAAATTCACAACAAATGCAGAGAAATATATACTAGTAGTGTATTGGCATAGGCCATGACAATTAAGACCTAGTTCCACAGGGCACATGGACAGTCCCTCAGATCTATTTTAAAACTATACCTCTCTAGAGCTATATGTGAGTATGTATAAATATAAACACACACAGATGTAGAACCACTGTAAATCCATCAATCTTCAAATGTAGACCTTAATAAACAGCTTGAAATGCCCTTAAGCTTATAATATTTAATAAAGACTTGATTTAAGAATAATAAAAAACCCACTTTCACATAACCAAGATAGAGAATTATTTCTTATTTCATTAGCTTTTATCTTTGGATATTAGAATTTATTTCAGAGGACACTTGTGTAAGCATATATTTGTTTTTAGTGCTTGATGGATTGTTCCTCTTCAGTGAGTTTAAAAGGGTATATATCATTTTCATTTTTATAGAGGAGAGATCAGATATTTAATGGAAATATGTGTTGCCTTTCAGTCATGGGTTTGGGTTGGAAATAGGTAAAATGGTCCATCTTCTCTCATCTTCTCTTGATGCTTGCAAACTAGCGCAGTGATGACTGTCCTATGCAGCCAGGCCTATGTTGTAAAATAACTTATATTGCTCGGGCTGCCTCAGATTTTTTCACAATTGAAAACCTTTTGCATGGTAGAGTTTAAAATTGTTTCTAACTGTTCTTTTTATTTAAACATTTAGGATGAAATCTCTGAAATATGTTTCTGAAAACTAAAGCAGTATAAGCTTTTCAGAAATCAGCAATATGGAGCACTTTTGGACAATGAAAGGTGACAGAAACTTTTGTCAGGGCAAATAAGCGGGTAGCTTTAGCTCCTGAGTCATGCATATTTCTAAGCTTTAAGAGGATTAGTTTAATTCTTGCTCAGGGAAACTGGTCACATGACCATTTTCAGCACTTCTATTTACACTGCAAAAATGCATGTTTCCACCTTTTCAATTCAAAGACTGCTCCCAAACAAGTCCTAGTAATTTTTAAAGCTTTTTCAAAATATTTTTTTTTCTTACTGAGAAAGAGGTTGGTGAAGAAAGAAATGTTATCTCTTTTTTTTCCCTCCTAGGATAGATAAGTCACTGGGCCACTTCTGAAATACAGATATTTTGTCACTTTTCTTCATAATACTAAAATACTTCTGTTCAACTTCCAGTTTTCCAGTCCTTCTATGAGTAGCTAAAGCATATTGGTATCTGAACTTTAATTTTCTGGGTTTTACCATTCCCTTCTCCAACAGTATGCTATATTTGGAGCAGTCTGTTGCCTCAATTCATTCTTTGTCTTGTTGTGTTCTGATGGCTGCCAAAATTAACAACTTTTTTTTTCCTCTTTTATAATATCTTTCAGATGCATGGGCAATGTAAATGTTTACTGCTCGTGACTGACACGAGTCTGTCACATTACGAACACTGACCACGTTTCAATTTCAATGTGCAGAATTTTTATTGACAAAATGAAAGATAATGAAACTTAAATTAGTAAAACTCGTGATAAATTGTATTTATATTTATATCAGGTAATAATAAGGTTTCTAACTTAATGTCGTATTTTGTGATTTCGCATTTCAGTTACTCATTTGAAGTCTGTATGTGGGGGCATCTTTGGTTGTTGGGTGCCTTATCTAGAACGTGCTGTATCAGCTAGGCAATCTCTCTGCCCCTCATGCTGCTTGAGCATTTCTTGGTGGTTTGAAAATATAATTAGGTAATCACTATTGGACATTTCAATATTTTAACCTTCCTGCAGAGATGTAAAAAAGATAACTCTTATTTTGACATACCAGAAACCAGTAAACAATTGATTAATTCTTTTACCAAAAAACTAAAATGGTGTTAAAATGTCAAGGATACTCAGGTTTCATGTTTTTTTTTTTTTTTCATTAATTAACCTAAGTTGAAAATATTCTGGTAGATATCTAGCTAATTCTGCATGTTACCAGCTTGTTTCCCATCCCATGAAGCTTACAGAAGAACCTCACAAACTTGAGTGCTTTTGTTTTGTCTGCAGCAAGAATGGGCCAGGGCTTCTCTTGAGAGCTGCTGCTCTCCTGACAATGGTGTGATTTGAAACTTGGTCACTTACAGACAACCCTTGGGTGAAAGGCAAATGAGTTTATCTGCTTAAGCCTTTCATTAGAGCGTAATAGGATAAGACAGATGGATAAGAATAACAATAAAGGATG